GTACTCACAATGTACTCTCAGTTCGCTGTTGTTTAGTACATCTACGTACGGCATTTGAGACACAAGTGAAGGTAGTTTTTTATTGTTGTCACGGTGATTTTTGTAGTGTTAATTAGTGAAAAAGACAAGCAAAATATGGAAAGAGATCTCAGAATAAGTAAAAAAACAGGACTTTTTTTAAGTGCGAAGAGAAAGAAGCATAGAAATCTTGAAAAATATAATTTGTAAGTATCTGAGTACCAATTTATTTCCGCTTATTTTGAATTAGTTTATTAAGAGTTATTTTGGTTTACAAACCTATATTGCGAAAAGAGAAAAAATTAAAAGTATTTTTGGCTTTACTCTGTGATTATAAAGAAACTAAATTTAAAAGCATTTTAATCCGACCAATTAATATCTGTATTCTAAGAGAAAATATTTACAATTTAATGCAGAAATGTCACAGTTACTTTATGTGTATCTTTTTTCTTTAGAGCCAGACGTGCAGGTCTTCCGTATTTAACAAAAGATGTCGTCGTTAATTCGGTTGATAACCAGGTTCATATTTTGTAAGTAGACAAAACTTTTAGGTCATTTCTTTTTAAACTTATGGGTATTAAACATTTTGTGTATATATATAGGGTGGATCGATATCTCAGAAACCAGATGTAGAAAAAATTTCATAAACCTAATGGTGTTTTTCACTGGCACCGGCAATGCACACTGATTATACATGTATCTTTGTCTATCAATACGGAAAAGAAGAAAGTGAGAAAACACTCAGTGTCAGTGCCAGTAAAAAACACCACGAGTCTAAGCGTTTTTGACACATTTAAATTTTTGTGTCAAAAATGACGTTTTATAACCCTAATATGTCAGAAACGCTTAGACCTAGGTATAAGACATAATTCAAATAATGTGCCTAAAATATTGAGTAATTCCAAAAATATTAGGGTGTCGTATTTAAAATAAGCCACTTAAGATCTATTTGCGGTACAACCGATGGTGCCCAATACATTCAAACATTTTAGCTAAATAGGACCCAAGACAACTAGCAAGTGTCCAAATTTTGACATTTTTCCTACATCTAGTTACTGAGATATCGATCGATGCAATTCCTGGGGGCCCACCCTATATATTACTTTTAATTAAATTGCCGTACAAACTTTTCGAAAATTAACATATTTGGTGTTTCGGTGTTTATCAGCCCCCGTGATATGGTTATAATGATTTAAAAAAAATGTCATGTCATTGCTAATAAATAAAGAGCGAAATATATGCAGAATGCATATATATATATAGATATGCATTTTTTGCATATTTTACCAAAGTTCAGAAAATATTGCATATTTCACTAAAGTTCAGAAAATTTGAGAAAATATTGCATATTTTCGAAAAAAAAAAATGTATTACTATGCTGTGCAAATTAGAAATTGTTTTAACAGAATATGGAGATATATTTGAAATAAAGACCTTTTAAATTTTTAGATTTGTTTTTAAGCGTCACTTCTTGTAAATTAGTTTTTACGGGTTGGCATACACCGGGTTTTTACCTTAAACTAGACGAAAAAATTAACGAAGTATGTAGATTCTTGGCTGGGCATTCTAGAAGCTTATTAGAGAATGTCGACACAAATTTGGTGGAGCAGTTTAATGCCATGATTGCACAAAAAGTAGGTGGTAAAAGGGTAAATTACACCCAAAGAAGATCATACCAAGGTAGATGTTTTGCTGCCGTTGTTGCTAAAAACACCAGAAGGCCGCTGTTTACTGTTTACAAGCATTTGCTACATGGACGTAATGCACATTTTAATATATTTAATCATGAAACTAGATTAAAAAATAAATCAGAACGAAAAAAGGGATTGAAAAGGCGTAAACAAATATTTTCTACTATAGATACAAATTATGGACAGGAATGCAAAAAACCAGATATTGATAAGGCTACTTTTGATGCACTACAGATAGAATATATAGCTGATTTAGAAAAGAGTGAAGAAGAATTTGTTGAACTAGAAAAAAGAACAAAACTACAAGCAGACTCTGCAGAATGGCTGCAAATAAGAAAGAAAATTTTAACTGCATCCACATTTGGCCAAGTTTGTAAAATGCGTCAAACAACAGGCTGTAATTCAATAGTTCAAAATATATTGTATAAAAATATTTGTACAAAAGCGACTGCTTGGGGCAAAAATAACGAAGATAGAGCGAAAGGGGTCTTTGAAAGAAAATATCCCAATTTAAAGATTTTAGACTGCGGAATTTTTATCAATAGTCAGTGGCCATTTTTAGGAGCTTCTCCAGACGCAATTATATCCAATGATAGTCTTTTAGAAATTAAGTGCCCCTACTCAGCGAGAAATACAACAATTAAAGAAGCAGTAGAAAGTTGGTTAATTGTGTATTTAAAAAGTTCAGGAGATGGATTTGAACTTAACAAAAATCATAATTATTTTTATCAAGTTCAAGGGCAACTCAATATCTGGGAAAAAACGACCTGTTACTTTGTAGTATGGACGTTACACGATTTTGTGTGCCTGAAAGTACATAAAGATGAATCTTTTTTTAAAAATATAATGTTAAAAAAATTAGAAATGTTTTATTACAATTGCCTACTACCAGAAATTATTGATCCAAGACACCCCCGAAGTATAAAAATCAGAGATCCTCAGTACATATTAGATGCCCAGGAAAAATGCGCAGAAAGGAAAAACAGTCAAGAAGGAAAGAGAAAAATCCAAACCAGTAAACCAGATCACAAAATTAAGAAGCAGAAAGTCCTTGAAAATCCTAAAACACAACAGCTTCCAGACGACTTATCCCATTAAAAAGTGTGATACATAATATGAAAGTACCTGTGGTGGTTAATATAGTAATGTTTAAACAAAAACTGGTTTTTGAAAATTATGTATTCTAAATTATTCATAGTGGGATTTTTCTTATTTTCTTCTTCATTTTTTGAAAATGAACTTAAATTTACATTTTTAGAAATGTAAGTCTTGCTATACCTTTGAAATTTGTATTATATATAGAATTAATAGTTAGTACTATTTACTATACTTTGTATGAGATCAGTGTTAATATTTGCTAGAGTAATTTTTTATTTGTGTACTTATTAACAATATTGTAAAATGTTTCTCTGGCAAAAATGTAATCGACATGTACAATATTTATACATACTGCTGTATAGATATTTTAATTGTTAATAAAATTCTCCGAATATTTTTATCCATTTAATTGAAAACTATATTTTTGCAACATTTTTTATCATAGTACGTAATAATTACATGTTAATCTACATGTCTAGTGTTATACTGTTCAAAATTATTTAATACAACTGAAACTGAAGATCCTGTTGACTCTACATTTTTCTATAATTTGTTTTAATTTTGTTTTGTTTGTTAAAAGTTTGATTTAATAATATAATAAAATTATGCCACAATTACCTAGCTATTATTTTTCTAAAGTACTAGAATTTTTTGGAAGAAAATTAATGACTTACGATTTATCTTCGCTCCAGTGCAAATAACTAACGAAAATTTTGATATAAAATATCACTGCGAGAGTGTTTGTGCAACAAGAGGAGCGTCGATCACAATGGAAAAAACCGCTATCAATTCAACGGCCGAGGCATTCGCCCCGACGTTTAAAAGCCGCTACAGGTTTTATTATTAAAAATAGACCACGTATTAATTGAGACAAAATGCAGCTCATTAAATTCCACAGTTTTGAAAAAAAAAAAAAAACATTTAAATAGCTCTTTGCATAAGAAAGTTATGGCAAGGTGAGTTAATTTTTGTTTGTCAATTTGTTATCTTTTTTTAAATTATACTGTTTTTTCATATAGTTTACAACATTTTTGCAAAAAACAAATACACCAAAAAAAAAGTAAATTGAATAAGGAATAAAACAAAAAAGTTGTTTTTTTAACTATTTTAGCAAAAAAGTTAAAAAGTTAAGTGTTCAAAGTTAACAAAAAAAAGTTTTTTTTTCTGTTTTTTTGCCTATATCTTTTGTTTTGTCCAATAAAGATGGTCATCAATTTCCATTTTCAATGTAATAAAACATATTTTTTCAAATAGTAAAGGTCAAATTTGGTTATACCTCAGTTTTTTTATGCATCCTAGACCGGGCTTTCCGTCCTACTATAGAAACGTTAAAATTATATTTGCAATCGCGCGAAGTACATTTTGGGCTGGATGCTTTTTACACCTTTCCGAATAAAGGAGCCACGCCTCCGAGACTGGTTTTAGAATTTCAGGTTATGTCAGCATCGGCAAAGTGTTTCTCGGTAGCGGACTCTTAATGAATAAATTTTTGATCATTTCTAATAGGACTTTAAATCTAGTAAAAAATAAATACCAATAGTAACCAACCACAGGCTCATTGCCCATTTTATTCTAAGTATATTATAGGTACTTTAAGTTGACTTTGAAAACCCCCAATACTGGCATATGACACTTCGTTTTTACTAATATCATTAGTGTTGCAATTTGCAATTTTTATTTTTTTTTAAATCTCGCCAGATTGCCAGATGTTTTTTTTTTAATTTTACAAATTCACACTTCATTATGGATTTACAAGCGATGTAATTTTTTTTTAACAAGAATATATTTTTTTTGTTAAACTTTTTTCCACTCTTTTGGGACTATATTTTCTAGGAATTTGAGAGTCGACCAACATTATATTTACAGTTATAGTATAAAATATTTTTGGTTTGAAAATGCAAAAAACAGTTTTTGGAAACTTTGACGCGCTCTACTTTTTGCATTTAACATCGTACCATAGAGACCTAATGAGATAAATTGTAGAAAATATTGTTAACTAAAACTTTTATATGAAACATTTTCTACTACTAGCGGAAAATCGATTTAAAAAATTTCATTGTGAATCACCTGTTCATGAATTAAAATCTTGTGAAAACTATTTTTATTGTACTATTATAGTAGAATATTTTATAAAGAAAAACCTAACCTAACCCTCCCAATAAACATCTAATATAGAACAACAACGGTACTCACCCTGGTACGTCTGTAGTGGTCAAATTCGTTTTTTCTGTACTATCTGACTTGCCGTCGTAGCTTATGGTAGATCGTCGGCCTAAAGATAATGGTTGGTTCTTAAATACAGTTCGAGCTTTAGTCGGAGCTTGTATACCTAATATGAAAAAAACAAAAAATGGACGATAGACGCTACACTAACAAAAGGATAGAAAGGATACAAACGGGGAAGGAGATACATAAAAATTACAGAAGACAAAGCTGGTGAAGGTATTGGTTGAGCTTAACAAAAAAATAATGTAGAAAGCGGTGAGTGATGAGAATGAATAGTGTAAAGCAGGATTAAATTTGATTGCAAAGAATTTTTCAATTGTAATTTTTCGGTAGGAAACATGTTTAATTACATCGATCCTAAATTAATTTTAAAATAAAAAAAAGAGAATAACGGTTTAGGTACCCCATTATATTTTGTCCACATTCAAACCTATAAGACTTTAAAAATAGTAGAGATAATGAAATGCGGTTTTCATTAGTCTTTTTTTACATACGGGGTTATGATGGACAAGTAATGTTATTTTTAACAGACACGTTATTTGTGAACAGGTTGTAATTTCTGTGTGTTTATAAAATAACAGACCTGTTAAAAATAACACAGGTTGTCAATCATAACCCCCTTAGACTATGTAATTTCAAACAGAAAGAGTCTTTTATATATTAAGAAAGGTAGTCTCTTCTAAGTATTTAGTATTTATTTTTAGCCTTATATTTGGATCGATACAGACTATATTACATGGAGGGAAACTAAGAAAAAAATAAATTGACCCCCACCCGCCACTTTTACCCACTCCTGTTATTCCACCGAAATGGTAAGGGATTGATAGCTTCAAACTAATAGCGAAGCCATAGGCCCCACTTGTATCGACCTACCACCTATTTTCTCCTCTCTAGTCTAGTAAAGCCAAAAACTAGTAATAAGAATCAGAGAATAGACCCCGAGGCCTAAAAAATTTGAAACCACCTCCTTACCCGCAGTAAAAAAAAATCATTTTTTTTTTAATTTTAATAAAAGGGTGCTACACTTTCTGGTTATAGGGAATTTGGCATCCCCTCCCCCAATTCCGGCGAATTTTACTTTTAAATTTTGCATTTTTATTGGTATGGCGATTTTTGTTCCCCTCCCCCCTCAAAAAAAGCTGATAATTGAGTTTTGGAATGTTATTAAATTGACTTAACATTATTTGGCAGGGACCTTTATAACCCCTGAAGCACAAGTCACTCCGCCCCCAAGAAGAGAAGGAAGGAGATGGTGAAACATTTTTTCACAATTGGGGTATTTAAGTCATATTGGTTGAACAGATAATTTAACAATTTTAAAAAGTAAGAAGAGTGGGCCTACCTCCCCCTTTTTGACGGGGACGTTTTCTGAACTATTAACAATTATTTTCGATGTTTTATGACAGTGTGCCAGTAAGGTCGAATATGGTAGAGCGCTAGGGGTTTCGCCTTTTTTAAGAGATTGAGTATTCCTAAAATGAAAATTTGAAATTTTTATTGTGCGGGTAATATATGGAATCAAAGGCTGAGTTCCTCACCCACCACAATGACTATTTAAAGGTAATCATTTAGTGGAATACACATATTAAGTCTATTTACACTTACATGCTACATTTTTAGAAAGAAACAAACTTTCTGAATATCTAATAATATAGGTACATTGTTTCTATTTGAAATTAAATAGTCCGTCATTTCCGGTTAAATTGGAAGTGAACAAAAAGGCAGTTATTCAGAAAAAAACATATAACAAAATCAGAAGAAGACTGGTGAAAACCTCATTAATTTATAAGTTAGAAAGGGTCAAAATATAACTGGGTATGAAGTAAATCTTTGTTTCTAAAGTAATGTCCTTCTTGATAGCCCAAAAAAATTCTAAAAACGATCAAACACTGAAATGAAGTAAAATCAATTTGATTTTTAACCTTTGCAATTCAAATATTACACAACTCTCTTATTTCACAACTTATTTAAATTAATATTAATGTCTACTGTCAAATATCTAAAGTGTCATTAAAAATATATAATTTACCGCTCATGTAAAAAAAACCTGTATAAAATAGCGAAATACATAATAATATATATATACACTACTAGACATTTTTCCCCGGATTTTTGCGACAATTATATAATTTTGTTAAAAATATGATTGGTTTTCTTAATTTACTCCAAATAAATGTTACTTGGTCAATTATTTGTTTTATTTCATCTAATAATTAAATTTGTAGGGTGGATCAATTATAGAGCACTATTAGTTGGATTAGTGTCAAATGAAAAATCAGATAGGAATTGAATTTTAACAGCCGATGCCACAATTTCTGAATTTGATTAGAAAGAAGTTACCGCTGCGATGACGGCTGCAGGTGAAATTAGTTTTTTTATATTATTTTACAATGTTTAAAGTAATCAATAAAACACAAACACTGTAATTAATCAAACATGCAAAATAAAAAAATTGTTCTCATGTACCAATCAGAAATGGGTAAAATTTCTTGAAAATTGGCAAGAAAAATATGGAGGAACTCACAATATGCCAAAGAAAGACCTATAATTCATAAAGAGAATAAGAAACAGACCTTCTTCATCATAATAAGCAATCATTACACACCGTGCACCATACAAATACTTATGACAATGTCAAGACGTGTTTAATAATTTCTCAATGTCTTAAATTAAAAATTTCCTTTAACTTATTGAATTTTGATCCTATTTAAGTGAATATGAAGGGAATGGTAATTTTGTATGTACAACAAATATTGTTTAATATACGAAATTAATAGTGTAGTGACTTATAGAGAGATGTATAGAACTAGTCTACTTCTACCTGGTGATGGTTCAGCTAGATTGAATCCGGTAATTCCTTGGGATCTTAGAACAATATCCAGAGGGTACATACTTGTTGCAAATAATTCTGTCTGGAATATTATTATATATTGTCTGATTTCTTAAATTTTTCATATCTGTTCAAATGGATTAAACCCTTTGACAGTTTGGATACAATGATGGTCGTAATATTATTTGCAGTCATCTTAATAAGATTAATGTCAAACAAATCAGAGACAAGAAAGCTCAGTGGATCGGGCAAACAGAATAGTTCCAGCCTGACATATACCATCTGAGTGGTAGAAGCTCACCAAATGGACACTTCTGTGCCAATAAATTATGCAACAGACTAAAAAAAATAGAGACATCTAGACACACCTCTCGGCGACGTTATTATGGGCTTTGTCGAGTTGGGAGGCAGTTGTAGCGATAAATTTAAATTTTGCCATTACACCGATTTCAAAACTGTTATTTTATAACCTTCTACTTTGTATTAGTTGTCCCCACCTTTAATCGTCAAAATAAAATACTATAATATATCGATGTTGAAAGTTTTGTAATGAGAGAAACTTAATTGATACAAATTTATTCCTTATATGCGAAAAAGATTCAAAATATAAGTTTTTCGTTATTTTAGAGACTTAAATCTAGCAAATATTTTGTATCCTTTCTAATTTAAGGAAGGAACCTATATCAAATTAAGTTTCTCTCTTTCCAAAATTTTGAACATATAGTTATTTTATTTTTCTGATTACGAGGTGGGAACATACGAATTAGAAGGTTGTGAAATCGAAGTAACGGTAAAATGTACCGTTATACAGTCCCTAGACACCTCTCAGTGCCGTTGTCTACTGAGAAGCAGTTCCTATATACCTCTAGAGGACCCACAATGTACATAGTGAGGCCTACGTAATGTGGGACAACCCACCCTCCTCACATTACAGACACGATAAGAACGAAGCAATATTGTAAGGAGGTGATGATATAGGTTTGGTACGAACATTTCAAACAAATGGATTTTAATCCAATTTAGATTATCCTAGTCTGCGCCATGTTCGAGAATTGCTTAGACAACAATAATTAACATATTTTACGTACTGTAACACTTTTATATAAACATTTACAATTTTTTTTCAGACACATTTCCATGCCACTCAAATTTACTAACCTTGTAATCTGATTCCCAAAGTCGGGGCTAATACTGTATCCCCTAGCGTTAATCTAACATTATGATGATGTATTAAACCGCCTCGGGTCCATTGTTCTGCGTTTTCCTTGCCTTAAATATGAAAACATTGTTATTCAATGCTTCCGTCTTACTTTGACAATACCATTTCTATTTAATCTATGCAAAATGAAATTACCATGAAAGCTTATTTACTTTACAGTGACAATTTTCACAAAAATGTTATCATAGAATTTTTTTATTAAAAATCTATATATTTTTTGTCTCCAAATGGCAGGTTTAGATAATATTTATATTCTCTATTTCATTAAAAAATCATGATTATCATCAATAAACTTAAATCAGACCAATTCTGCTATGTCGTTCAGTTTCTTTTTAAATTCAGGTTGGCAAGGAAAGTTAAATATCGCTCAATCTGTGTCTAAATTCGTAGATCTGTCCGCATTTTAAACACTTAAGAAACATAAGCCAGCCCTTTTTCAATGATAACCACCTTTTAAAAAGGAAATGAAACTTTGTAACAGAGAAACTGCAAGGTCAAGACATAGCTCGGATTAAAAAGTAGTACCGTCTTTCATCTCTCTATTAACACACTGCCTCTCACTCAGGCGTTGCAACTAATTAATTTACACTCATGGTCAAAAAAATTTAGTCTATGTTTAAGGCAAACAAGGTTTTTAGGAATCATTTTCTGACTACATTTTTAGAAAAGACATATTTGACAAATGCATACTTCAATTGCACTTTATCTTAAAAAAAAAAACGAAAAAGCCTACCGATAGCTTTTCTTTATTCTGAAATTCTACTTGCAAGACGAACACTTTCAAGTCGAATTATAAAATCAAATAATGTCAGGCTTTTATAGAGAAGTGTACAAAGCTGACATTCGCCGCTTCAAATGATAAAAATGACACGAACATCCTGGATTTAAAAAGAAACTGACCGGCATATGTAACTGGTGATCTGGATATTAAAATATTTTGACTTAGAAATGATGTCAAAGCATTTATTTATCCTTAATGTATTGTTAGTTTCTACATTTAATTAGACATTCATTAAATAAACGATGTTTGTATTAATTTGAACAAATGGCCACAAAAACACAATATGATGGGCATTTCCATTAAACGACACATTTTTAACATTTCATTCCTTCACATTGTTGACAGCAGTTAATATGATTTGACATTCGAATTATGTTTGACAGCAAAAACGTAATTTGACATTTCATTCTTTAACATTGTTGACAGCAGTTAATGTGATTTGACATTTGAATTAGGCAATTGACAACTGACAGCGAGCGTGTTAGATACTTTTAGACAATTGACAGCAATGACGTAATTTGACGAGCATATCATCTAGTGGGAAATCAATGAATTAGTTGTGAAACTGAGAGACGCATGATCTGCCAAAATTACCCGGACTTACTATTGTCGGTGGTGGTTTTGGGTTGAGCACTGGCAGGTCTGGCATTAAGTCTGGCACTGTTCTCTTTAATCGTAGCACTGTCAACGGTATTTTGACGTTTGAAACCGGATGATTGTTGGTTGTTAATTTGCGCGGCAGGTACTTGCGGTTGAGCGCCCGCTCTTAGAGTTTCACCTAAACAGAAATCGAAATTCGTTTAGTTTCATGGTGAAAGAGTAGGATACACTTTTTGATACAGTTATTTTTCGACGCCCAGTTCTTATGGTTTGGTTGAATTTAGAGTTTATTCCATAAAGTATTCACATTTACAACCTATGAAATTAATATTTGTTCAAGGTTCAAAAGTAAGGTCATAATTAACCGATTTTTGTATATGTGAGAGATATAAACGAATTTTCCAATAACAAACTATATTCATAGGTATGATCTAGAAAATTAAAATAACAGACAAATGACTGTTATTTAAGTGTAAAGTGTATCAAAACTGAAAACATTGTGCAAAAAACTGATATATGTGATAACTGGTAGTTCATTAGTATGGGGAAGTCCAATATCTCTCTTAACATAAGAAATAGAAAATATTTTTGATAAATGTTATAGGGTTTACTTTTTTGTGTATTTCTTAAATACTGTCCTTTATATCTGGACAGCTTAGATGTCAAAGTTTTTAAATAATATTCTTTTACCATTGATTTCAGCGTAAAATGTTTCTTTACATTTCAATGCTAAGTTTTTTATTTCTGGAACGTTGACAAAAAATGTGAAAAAAAAAAAAAATACTAAAAAATTGTTCATGACAAATATTAAAAAAACTTTGTTATTGACAAATATTTGATAAAACAAAGAGCTAAAAAGTCTGAGAGTATCAGAAGTTTATTGTTATGTACAGACAACTAATCAACTTGCTAATCTTTAAACATTTAAAACTTCGTTTTTCTCAAATTGGTTATTTTTGATTACAATATGGGCCCTAAAAGTAATACTTTTATTTTAATTGATAACTTAAAAATAATAGAAATGAAAGAAACATTGGATTTCCTCACACTAATGTATGCATTTATATTTAAATATGATTGAAATACGAATGAAATAAGATAATGTGAATTAAGCACGTTTCGATTCTATATTACTAATACCTCATGAAATCCAAACCAAACATTTAAAAAAAAACTCTGAAATCACACATAAAACTTATGTACAACATTTTTGTTCCTCGAAAGCAAGTCCCATGTCGTCGAGGTTACTCACAAATCTACTTCATCTAACAACCAACAAAACACCTACCTATGGTTCCACCTGAAAAGAACAGAGAAAAATCCCAGTCAGTTACACACAAAAAACACTAAAGCCACAGCTGGATTTATTCAACCTGCTTTTTTTTGTTTTTGGTAAATATTTCGCATCGCAAATTTTGTTTAAATTCATTTTTATTTGCGTTGTATTTTTATTACGTTGGAGTATAAAAACAAAACTCGAAAGTTACCGGTATTGAAGTTAAAGTGGTATAAAACTTCTTGCTTTGTATTTTTAACTATTAGTAGACCTCTTAGTAAATCATTAATATTTATGGGCCAATTATTTCCGCTCGGAACTAGAAGATTTATAAAAAAGTTCAGTTCAGTATTATGCAGCTCCAAGCTATTATTTTTATAAAGAATGAAAAATATATTTATAAAATAAATGTGACTATGTCGGTGGCTCAGTCGAGCGCTCATGTAAATTACTGGAATTTGATACATAGGTTCAAATCCCAGAGCAGACAAATGTGAATTTTTCGTTAATTTGTTTATGTTTCTGGTATTAAAATTCACTCGCATGGAGGTGAACTAATAATAAAATTATAAAAATATCTGTATTTGTAATAAATTAAATTTACAATGCATTGAACAGACATATGTTAACACTACTAATAAAAAAAATACATAAATCACACTATTTTTAAATGGTTTTATTTATCTTGACATGATTGTTGTTGTTGGGTCAAATTTAGTAATTACAATTTTACCCCCTTTCTGTTGATCGATTGATCTAAAATTTGATACACACATTTAGTTCTGATGACAATACACTTATGTATATTTAGTATCATTGTAAATTCAAGAATGGCGAGTTAAATGAAGGGTCTTGACTGGTAGAATACATTACATCACAAAAAACAAATTCAAGATGACCACCACCACAAAATGGCGGATTTCATATTTTCAATTCCCTTAAAATGGGTAATGGGTATCAAATGAAAGGGCTTTGCAAGTAAAACACAGTAGTCTATACATTAAAACTGAAATCTAAGTATCTAATCAAAAGAAAGAACTTCGTTAACTTAGAATCGGGATTCAAGGATGGATCTCCCACCAAGTCAAGATTTCAAATCGGGTCGAGGACTGTGTGGCATTAGGGTGGCTAAAAATGATACATCGTTAGTGGTTGACGCCACACGAAATACAGATAATTTGAATTTAGCTAGTTATAATACCAACAGCCATAAACAAGACTGAAGGCTTGCCAACAGAACTTAAAATAATTTTAAGAGCAAAAGTTATGTTTCGGTCTAATATTGACGTTTCGAAAGGATTAGTAAACGGCACTATCGGCTATATTACTGAAATTTTTTGGCCTCAGTTTCGTTCGGATCGTTGCAAGAGACGGCATACACCTTATTTACCCTAAAGCCATACAGTTTCCAGCAAAGTTGCCCTTAATTTTGTCATGGGGTTCAACTGTCCACAAAATGCAAAGCAGCACTGTAGACCAAGCAGTTGTGTATTTAGGCTCAAAATTGTTTGAGGAAGGTCAAACTTTTGTGGAACTGAGTCGAATAAAGTCTTTGGAAGGTTTATGTATTGAGGAGCCAGACTGCAACAAATTGACAGGAAAGAAACCTTGTAATGAGAAGGAAAAAAACAAAATTTTAAAACACTATAAAATCAAAAGTCATTTCCAATTTAATGTAGGCATTTCCTTATTTAATTTTTGTAGAATTTCTAGGGCAAATAAAGATCAGAAAACAAATCCAAGCAGAAATTCTCCTACCAACTTCTGTACAATAAAATATTCAAGAAAATGATCAGACAAGTCAATTTTTATATCTGATTAAACAGATTTCGGCAATAAAGAATTAACACTAATTCCATCACCTTGCTACTTCCTTGAAAATTTTAAATGGAGATATGGGTAAACTGATAGGATATGCAACTGATAGCTTTATTAGTTTTGACTTAAATTAAAAATATAAAATTAACTAAACCTACAAAGCACGACACTATTATTTGGATTATATAATTGTAAACTGATACTAAGATTACTGATAATTCAAAATATTCTTCATTGACTTCTCGACAGAAAAGTTTATTTTTAATTGTTTCCCTTTTAAAACTGTTTAAGTAAAAAAACTAATAAAATTATCTTTCAAATTAAGTGTCACACTTTACAATACGTAAGTTTTTATCCCGGTAGAAGGCGCTAAAATAAAAAATAACGCAATGAATAGTCATATTGCTAAATTCTCCATAAAATTACCTTTTCAATGATGCGTCATACTTGGTACCTTCTTTATTTGAATTGTATTGGTTAGAGTGACAGAGGGGAAGGGAATGACATATACAGTTGAGGATATGATTGAACGATATCCCCTCCAAACTAAATTAGCGTTTTTTAACATCTACGATATTAATACCCAAAAACCCAATGTCAGGTTTTCATTCGGCCACCTTGTATATCAATAATTATCTTGTATATTTAAGATGTCTACAAATACTTAAAAACAGCAAGAAGTTTTAAACCAGATGATTCATATTTTCCATACTTACCGCAATTAGTAGCTGCCATTTTCTCTGTGCTTGGCAAATTTAATTTTCAGTGTCAGCAGATAGTAAGCCTATTTTCAGGTTTTTTTCACAGATCTGGGGAAATTTGTAGAGTAGATGTGACAATACCGCATCGCATGCCCAATAATTATCCAGAAAATTTGTACCTAAAGGCAACACCGCTTCTCCAGTAAACCGTTCAGTTTGATAGATCCCTTGTACAGATAACGAGCAAGAGAAGGGCTCAAATGTCAACCAATTTTCTGGGCAATTATTAGGCGTACTTACCAATGAAGAATGTGTGACCGTGTTGCCAGAACTACTCTACAAATTTTCCAAGATCTGAGGTAAATCGGAGAAAGTGGAGTGAAGTGGTTTACTAGTGTTGAAGAAAAACAAAACGCAACCTCAAAAAAATCTACTTAGCTGTGCATATCGACGAACTTGGCAGAAGCGTGGTGATAAGCAAATAAAAAAACGAATCAAATCAGACACCTTTTAAACAAAAATAAAAAAACCGACTTAAAAATGTAAACATGCTAATTATGGGTATATAAAAATTGAATATTAGGTAATTAAAAAAAGGAGCTACATAAAAAAATGTGCATAGATTATAAAATATTAATAATTAAAAATGATGATTATCGATAACAAAGAAAATTTAAAAAACAGATACGAGTAAAGTAGGTAAATCTAATCTAAGATTCACAATAATAAAAAAATGCATTCAATACAAGTAACAAATCGAGTAAAATTGGATATAAATATTTTTAAATGTAAAAGGGCGACATAAATAACAATTAAATTTTTAATAATAATAAAAAATATTAAATCGACATCCTTGGTGACACCAAGATTATAAAAAAGCAGGTCGCACAGACAGCAAAAATGAAAACAAAGAAAAAGGAGTAAAGAAAAATGGAAACAAAGATTCCACTAACCTCCGCTAGATGCCCTTCTGTTCGGTTTGGCGTGCGTCGCCGAAATCGAACGATGCACGCCTCTGTGTTGAGGACTCTGTACGGCTGGTTGGGGGGTCGCCTGCTGTTGCCCTGTCATGTTGCGCAGGGACAAACTGCTACCACTCCTGCTGCCGTCGCTTTCCGGCTAAAATTAAAATAAAAATTGTCACGCAACATAAAATACATATCAAGTTTGAAAATCTACGTAAGGCATTCGGCTGTGTTTTCCTTCAAAAGCTATGGATCACAGTAAATGAAATTTCGGTACCTGTCTCTCCAATAAAATGGGTATATCTCCCCCAATTAAAATGTATTTAAGTGAAGCTTTAGATCGAGGGGTAAACCACTCCTGAAATACTAGTACGTTTTCACTCAAAATTACAGAAATCATTACAAAAAAGGCGATTTTAAATCAGTTACTAGACATGTGACCAAGTCAAGTGTGGTCAAGGTTCTTACGTCATTATAATGACGTTCTAATAATCTGATTTAAAAATGTTTGGTTTATATTGACACTAACTTCACAATGGGTATAACATTGGCAGATATCATGAATTTTTATTTGTGTGTTATGTAATAGTAGTAGGATTTGTTTTTGAATTTGTAGGGATAAAAAATAAATATTTGTTTTGTTTACTGATCATGGATGAAGAGAAAATTGGTATTATAGTTACTTTGGCCTCTGAAATTTTATCAAAACTTTAGCCATGTTCATTAATAAATCCTACCTTAAAAATAAATTGGCTTTTCATTTGCAGAAACCTTAAATGCGTCCATATCTAGGTACTCAGCCAGGGTTGCCAGAATTCGCGCTTTAGGCGTAATTGTCCCGCTTTTTAACTTGCTGGCATGCGTTACGCCAAAGTACAAAAATGCTCCGCATTTCACCTTATTGCTACGTTTTTTAAATTTAAAGTTATATACAATGATATTTTTGACAATGTTTGACCTGTTTTTGAGAAGCTCAGAAAAAGGAATCTGATGGTTTAAATAAATGTAAGCGGAGGACCTTTTTTTAGATCTCTACAAAAAAAGGAGCTTATTTTATAAAAATACCTGTTTTTTAACCTGATACCCTATCGCCACCATTGTCCCACTTTTCCCTTTCGTAAATCTTTCTTTCTATTTTACAAATAACACAACCAAACAATGATTTAATAATTAAAAAGTAAAAGTTTTACATTTTTCATTTCATTTGACATTTCATACCTGTGATGACCACGTTTTTACTGTAGTCATGTTAAACTTGACTATTTCAAGACAATATTCAATATGACGTCATTATTTTTGATTTATATCAGTGTAGTCAATCATATTCAAGACATAGTATCTGATTTAAAATCGCCTCAAATGTTCTCGAAATTTCCGAAATCATTATCAAAATAAATTCGTTGCTCAAAATTATAAATGCAGCAGCTTGTGGATCAAAAAACATGTGAAGAAACAAAATAAAAAGGGTCATAGTATAAAATTAAGGGAGATTTTCAGCGAAATCACAAAAAAAAAATCAATTTTAGATGATTTCCGAAATACGGGTACGTTTTGACCTTAGTGGTTGACCCCTCGCTTTGAACGAAATAATAGGTCAGGAAATAGAGACATACAAACCGAAATATTTAACTTTTTTTTAAACTTTGTAGTAAAATAAACTATCCAATTTTGCAACTCAATACAGGGTCGGCAAAATTGTTAAAATGGCAAAAAACTAAATTAATGTATTGCTGGATGACTAAAAATGTAACATGGCTGCAAATTTGATATCATTTTCTTTTCAAGATCTGGAGCTGAATTTGCAGCCACTTATGACTCCGGCAAAGTAATTAATTGCTGTTAATTAACATGTTTGCAAAATGATAGTATAACTCGCTGTTGAAAGACTTCCAACATATTTTCGTTCGTCAGTACATTTTACTTAAACCACTCCTGACATTTTCTAGAAACAATCGAAAGCGATGCTTCACTCTTCTTTGTGCTAAACACAAACCACAATATGTTAATAAATGCTTTCGCGTGAGTGCTGGTTTGCAGATTCACCTGGTTTAATGTGCTTGTAGATTTGCAACTTTTTGTAGCAAATACATGAATGTTGAAAATGTTATGATCCTTTTGTATCGAAATTATAAAACTGTTCTCACATTTGTTTACATTTCTTATCAACATGTCTTCAAAAAAAAAACAACTATGTATTACCTTTCTTTTTGTAATGAATTTTTATAAAACATTTAATTATGAAAGTAAATATTGTATTTAAAACAAATAAAGTAATAAAAAATTTAAAAAAATGATTGCATTTATTTGTAGTTCATTTACCAAATAACTAATTAAAAGAGGAGGAAAATTCACTTCACAATCTGATAAAACATTAAACAATTCTTCGAATACTTAGTATTATTGCCTTCTTAATGTACCAGCGTTAGCTATGACTAATATTCCAAAACTCCTAGTATCGAAAAAGAAGAATATATTTTCATTTTTTAAATTTTAAACTAAGTATTTATCGAAAATCTAGCAAATTACTTATTTCCGCAGTTATTCTTGTTTTCTCTTTTTTTTTAATTTTATATCACAATAAAAGTGTGTATTTCTATTTTTTTCTTCTTCTAATTTTGACATATAAAGTGACATCTTTTGTAATCGCAGAAAATTTCAAAACGATCTACTTTATGCAACCAGTTGCATAAAGTAGCACATTGTGCAACTGATAACGAAAAGTTGATTATGTAACCAGTTTCGAAATGAAAATAAATAATAGCCATTCATGTAACCAGTTACGGAATGCCTTATTTTGTGTAACGAGTAAATATTTACGGGACGAGCGGAGCGGCACAAAACGGCATTTTCGTAACGTGTTGCATACAAGATTTTTTCTAATTTTGATTTGATTATTTGAGCCGTTTATTTTGAAAGTGGCCAAGTCCATTTACACTTAAATTTAAATATCTAAGGGTTTGTGTTAATTTTGTTTAACTGCATTAATTAAACCGTATTAGTTATTCAACTAATGCAATTGTCCAAAAACTGAGGTTAACTTGTTAAATACTAATTAATTAAAATTACCTTCTTCACTGCATTCGGACATTATCGATAATGAATATCTTAATTTAAGTATAAATGGACTTTCAAAATAAACGGCTCATTTATAAAATAGTGTTTGGTTAAACAATGATTCACCATCAATCTTTTGTAGGTACTTTCATCCAATCAAATATTTCAGAAAATTGTTGTATTTGATTTCATTTTTTTTTTAATAGTAATAATAAAAATAAGGCACATATGCAGTGTTGCAGATCTAATTTTTACCCATTATCCTTAAAGGCGTATGTCAAAATTTTACCCTCAACATTTCTGGACAGTTTTCAATAACGGTGTTGAATTATTTAAAAAATAAAACGCAATTTACAGCTTTTATTTTTATGTTTTCTTTTTTGTTGTTAAAGGTAATGTCAAATATGAAATGTCACTATTCATTGCCATTTTTCGATTTTTCGTTTTTTCGATTTAAAAACCAAAAAAGAGGCATTTTTATTTATTTTCATTTCGTAACTGGAGCATAATGTTCTACTTTATGCAATTGGTTGCATGAATTAGATCGTTTTGACACTTGCTGCGATTAAAAATGTCACTTTATATGTCAAAATTAGAAAAAAATGCATTTTTTTTTGTTTTTAAATTAAAATTTACATTGCTTTTGAAAGGTTTTATCGAAGAATGAATGGTTGGCAATATATAAAAATAGATTTTGTCAGGAAACTTACGATTTGTAATTCTGGTTCCGTCGCTAATTTAAACAGTCTTGATCCATACTAAATTTCCTCAAATTCATCAAAACACTGTTTTACATGACACTGGCATAACTTTATAGAGAAAAAACTAAAAATATCAATATCCATTTACTTATGCAAAATAACACACTTTCTTGAAAACTAGTGATATTTAAAAATTAAAAGTATCAGATTAGTATGAAGTTAGGAATAGTCATGTTAGACGATTTGACATTCACCTACAATAAGTAGGTATTTATTTTCTATAAAAATTCCCTAAATACATGACTTTATTGTAAAAAAAACCCGAAAAAAATGTCTTATAATATGTAATTTAACGTTTAGCTGGCCCGACAACACAAGTGGTTGAAATGAAATATAATTTTACAGGTAGTTATGCAACTAACAATGCATGAAATAGGGATGGACGATATTTTTTTTCACAGTGACAGTCGTGACAAGACAAAATGTTATGCTGGAAACCGAAAAAAAGAAATGGAGTTAAATTATAAAGGAATAAAGGGGATTCATGCCCTTATTCTCTTATGAAAATAGATGATGCTATTCGAGGCATAAGAGAAAAACGAAAACCGTTTCGTAAGTTACAAATGTCACTTGTTATTTCAATCGCTCCAAGTTGGAAGAATATACAGTGTATGCGATAAAGTTGGATCCATATGGGACTTTTTTTAAAATTACGATTTAAAAAAAAACGTCGTAGAGCAATCAAACACAACAATTTTACGAAATATTTGATTGGAAGTACCTACCTACAAAAGAATGATGGTGAATCGTTTTTAACCATACACAATTTTATAAATAATCAAGTCAAAATTAGAAAAAATCTTGTATGTAACACGTTACGAAATGCCGTTTTGTGTAACTCGTTCATTTAGCGATACCTCGCTTCGCACGTCCCGCAAATATTTACTCGTTACACAAAATAAGGCATTTCGTAACTGGTTACATAAATAGCTATTATGAAATTGTAATTATTCTAATTAAAATTTAAACGATTGATAAATATTTTGTTTAAAATCTGAACAAAAAAAATATTTTCTACTTTTTCAATAATTGCAATTTTGGGATTAGTCATGGCTAATACCGATCCATTAAGAAGATAATATTAATTATTCCATGAATTGTTTAACTTTGTATCAGACTATTTATTAATTCGAAAAAAATGTATTACAAATAGAAGCAATTCAATTTTTTTTATTTATTAATTTGTTTCAAATGCAAGGAATCAAATATATTATTTAATTATTTACTTCCGATATTTGAGGTATTTCTAACTACAGCTAATTAAATTTCATTACTATGTAGAAAATGTGAAGAGGATGATAATTGATTACCTGCCTGAACAAGGTTGCAACCAACAATCTTTCAGAAACATGCTACGCATGAAATATAATATTATTCTTACTGTAATCTGCCTAAAAATCCATATTATTAAGGTTCATTTTAGCTTACGGAAGTTGCCTTGACCAGAAAAAGGTTGTACATCAAGAGCTTTGTTGTTCTGAAAATGTTGATTGTAAAATGTGTTTTTTTGATGGTTACAACCTTGTTCGGGACAGGATTCAATTATTGGAACCAGCTCACAGGTAATTCTTGAGCTGTAATACATACAGTCCATTTTGTTTTAGCCACCAGAGCCGTACTTAGAAAAATGTGTGGAATCAGCATGTATTATTAAATATTTTCCACACAATTAAATTACATTGAAACAATAAAAATAATTAAAGACATTAATGACGATAAGAAATGTAAACAAATGTGAGAAGTTTTATAATTTAAATACAAAAGTATTATATATTCAACATTCGTGCATTTTCTACAAAAAGTTGTAAACCTACGAGCACATTAAACCAGATGAATAGGATCCAGAATAGTTTTAACGTTTTACAAATAAGGCGCAATTGGTAAACAGACAAAACTGCGTTGTTATGATTACAAGAAAATATGATGATGAGAAATAACCTTTGCTGAGAAATAACGACTCCAAATGATGTGCGATATATAGGCCTAAATTATAAAAAACCGTGAAATGTAAAACATACAATTACATTAATAAATTGTAAACGTTACGGACACCAAATCAAAACCTGTATTCACCATTCCATTCTTGAGATTCAATTCTTCCACGCTGCTGATGGGCTTCTCTAACTTTCTGGGTACTTGAAAATCCGGCTCCAAGGACCAATCTTTGCTGAGAAATAACGACCCCAAATGATGTGCGATAATTTTGACTTTTCGTAATCCAGCTCGAATGAAAAATTTTATGATGAGAACCAATCTTTGCAGACAAATATCGACTCTTAATGATGTGTGATATATATTTTTCGACTTTTCGTGACAACTTACATATTTTCAAAAACCACATTAACAGTTTTTTATAGAGCAAATATTTCTCACTTTCAAATTGATATGTTGCTTCAGTTTGTAGTGATTACAAATTTATCCTTCAACTACACATAGACTATTCAAATTAATTTCAATATTGCAAATATGTTGCGACCGTTTTGCAACATAAAATTATAAAAAATGTATTTATTTTTTTTGCGGGCTTACACATTTGAATAAACATTTCCCTAGGTCTAGCGAGTTCAACATAACATTTACAGAAATTTTAATTTTATTTTAATAGTGAAAAGTTTGTAAAAATATTGATTATTGTTAATTTCGTCTGTTTGCCGACGTCGTGGGCTGTCGCAAAATGAATAATATACCTAACTTACGAATGTGGTCATTTGCTATTAATATTTGTATGTACATGTTACAATTTTGCGAACCATTTTTAGGCAAATAAAAAAAAAACTTGTAAATTTTAAAAATGTTACAAGCTATCATCGGACAGTTGCAAATTTTAACAGGAATTTAAGGCGATATTAGCAAGTATACTATGAATTTGCACGTATGTTAATATTTTAATTCTGAGATCAAATAATGTTAACAGCAATTAATTACTTTGCCGGAATCATAATAAATATTGAAATGAAAATGATATCAAATTTGCAGCTATGTTACATTTTTTATCGTCCAGCTTGCTATTTTAACAATGTTGACGACCCTGTATCGAGTTGCAAATCGGATAGTTTCGATTTATTTGGTACTTTATCTTATATAAAAAATTATGTGTTAAATATACAGTGAAGATGTAAATTGTGCCACCCCTCTTAACTTCTAAATTTAAGAAGATAGAGACATGAAACAAAAACGAGGTGAAATTAGAGATATTATGATGTTTATTTTATAGTGTGATGCATTTTACTTGAGAGACGTAAGATAGGAGGCCTTACTATCTTTAAATTATCTAATGAAAAGTTGGCCCTGTGATACATCATTTGTGACATATTTTCATTATCTTTGCCTCCATATAAACAGTTTTGTTTTTTATGTTTTTAAGGGATCGAATTTCTCAAGTGTGTGCCGCAATAACCCCAGAAATGCTAGACAATGTTAGAAGATAATTTTGTAATAGGCCTTTTTATTTCCACGAAGTTAAGGGAGAACATTTTGAACATTAAATACGTTAAGTGGTTTTTAGATCACCTTTGATGTTCTTAATTTATTTATTTTAGTAAATATTGTTTTTTAATTAGTAATAAACAATAACAGTAAATACGAGGGTTATCAAGAATGTAACGTACTTCATTAATTTATTTATTGTAATTTCTATAAAAACATAAAACTGTTTACATGGACGTAAAGATAAAATATCATAATATCTCTCTAATTTCACTTCGTTTTTTTGCACAATTTACGACCTCACTGTATAAAGGTATAGGTTTATATTTTCGGATTACACGAATGTATTTGATAAAAAGGAGGACTAGCATTCCATAACATTATAAATTAAATAAAATATAATTTGTGATTAACTTACATCTATACTTTTCCTTCCTAAGAGCAGGTACGTCGCGAAAGCATCGTCGTACTTCTGTGAATCTAACGAGTTTTCTACATCGTACCTGTTAAAACCTAAACATACTAAAGCTTCTATCCTCTTGGGGTCGCTCATGTCCTGCTCCGGCTCGACGTACGGTTTCAGTTCGTCATTTTCGTACCTGAAAAGTGCGATCGACACGGTTTAAGGAAGACAATCGAGAAACATAGACTTACTTCGTAACTAATATGTCGAGTAGATAAATATGAGAATGTTATACAGTTGTTAACAGTTCTGACAAGCGCGGGTTTATGAAGAGAAAAATCTAGAATTACTAGTTAAACCACGATTTTTAACAATAGTTTTCTAATTGTTCCATTTTTTTTTAGAATTTTATCAAGTCATAGTATATTAACACAAACCATATTGTTGGTACACAATAGTTAGACAACTGGACATATATTAACATTAAGAAAACACACCTGTTCAACAAAAATGTCTCAATTTGACTTGTGTCACTATTGAAAATAATGTTCTTGATTTGTTTAATAAAACTGGTATATTTTTATTTATGTCACTTTAGCTGAAAATTGACGATCTTGTCTTATTGACTATCGAAGCACAACTAGATTTGTGTCACTTTTCATCATCATAAACTCGCGACTTTGTAGTATGGCAAAGAATGACACGACTGCTTTACAACGGTCATTTTTGGAAGTAGCAATATGTCGTTATTCTACATAAAAATATATGGGTTTTTAATTTTTAATTTTCACAATAGGTTCGAAAATGGAAATTTTTGGGTTGTGTCACTACTCTTGTGCACCAGCGATATATACAAAGACTTGATAAGTAATTTTACCTCAACTCCATCAATTATCAGTAGTAATTATAGACCGTCAGATAGTGACTGATTTAGGTGCCCTATTTTCGCATACAAAAGTCTCGAAGAGTGTTAAAAAGTACATCTTGGGGATAACACATGGAAAATTCAATTTTCATTATCAGAAAAATTTTCCGACCCCAAAATGCACTTATACATTCGGGTCATTCAAGAAAATATGTTTTTCGGACTAGTGACGACATACGTTTTCATATATTCGATGGTCTTGTGTGGAAAAATCGGGCAAAATCTCGATTTTTCCTTAGAAGATTTCGCCCTTATTTTAACCCTTTAACCATTTGCAACATTCAAGCCTTTGGTTTTCCGAAGCCTAGTTCTGTTAATTAATCATATAGTGAAAACGGTTTGTGTGGAAAAATGGGCAACAAATAACCTTTCGTTTTTGTTAGAGAAAATTTTCCATGTGTTATCCCCAGCAGCCACTCGTAAATTTCCTTTCATTCTACATAAAATGGATGTACTTTTCAACCATCTTCGAGGCTTTTATGCAAAAATGGGGCACCTAAACCCTGACGAACTAAATAATTACCTTTTGAGTTTTTTTTTATTGAATCGTTTTTAACTATTTAAATTGGTTTGAAAACTATGAAAGAACTGTTGAGCAAGTCGAAGTCTGTCTATAAATATCATCTTGATATTTTGTGAAATTTTAAGAGTTAAAAAATATGAACTTAACATTTTCTTGATTTCTAAAAGATATGCAATTTTTTCTTTTTGACTTGAAAATTCAGTTTTATTTTCGAGTTATTCTAAAGGGCCAATATAATTAAAAATTAAATACTAGAGGGTGTCAAAGAAATAAGTAATAAAAGTTTAACCACGTAAATAACCAGGCATAAATTTTTTTAAAAACTGTTAATTTTGCTGAAAGAGATCAAATAACAGTAAAAAAATATCAAGATGAAATTTATGAAATCCTATATAGTATACGAGATATCTCCCAATTTTTTAAATAGACAATTTTACTGAAAACGCTGACATTTGCAGGGCGCGAATTAGACCTACTATATGCCGTTCACTTTCATTTTAAATAGAGGATGGCTACAAAAGTCAAACATTGCTCTGTATAATAATACTGACACTGTCAAAAGATTTTTTCTTTAAAAACAGTGATAGTATCTAAATACCTATGACCTATACCCTTTAATAATCATGTTTCTACGTATATTTTTTTTTGTGGAACCTCTCAGTGGGCATCCACAACGTGACCGGAGATATTACTGCTTAACTGTTGCGAGTATGTGGATGCACACTAAACTCGTGGCTAGCCTCTCCGGCTTTCTATGTATAACACACTAACAGTTCTGCAGATTTCATGTACTTCTGAAATTAGAATCAACACTTTTTTTCTACAATAGGACTTAACAGCAGCAATAATATAGCACTTATTTTTTAGATCAATTCGTACTTTATACAATGACATTTGTGTTTATAGTTCCACGATTTTTTTTTATATCAGATAATTTGACAATGCTGCTTAGATGATAAAAATGAAATCTCACATCCCATAACCTCTAAATTCACGGTGAATGTGTCAAATTTCCATAGCCAAGCTCGATTTAAATTAAAACCAAACGGCATATACAGGATGTCAATTTGAAAACTTCTCACCCTTAATATCTTCCTTAAATAATATGAAAAATTCAAAAAGACACGTTAATTTTATTTTCAAGGAAGACAAGTTTAATTAATCCTAGGATCCTAACCGGGAAGGGGATCAAGTGACACATCATTTGAAAGGTAAATTTAAGGAGAATTCAAATATATGACTATTAATTCGGAAAGGGGAATCAAGTGTCACATCATTTGAAAGGTAATTTTAAGAATTCAAAAATATGACTATTAGTTGCGTTACTTTTGATTTTAGCGCCTTCTAGCGAGATAAACAAACCGTTGGGTATTGTAAAGTGTGACACTTCATTTGAAAGATAATTTGATTTAATGCTTAGAATAAATTTGTTATTTTCGTTGATTACCATTAAAGGAATAGAAGCTCATAAGTCGATTTTTGTGATTTATGCATTTTTTTATTAGAAAAATTAGCAAATGGCAGATATTTTTAAACTGCAAAAGCTCATAAGTTATATTATTAGTTTTTATACTAATAATAATTTGATTTAAAAATATCTGGAATTTAGTTATTTTTACAATAAAAATGCATAAATTACAAAAATTGACTTACTCACTCTAGTCATTGATATGCACGATTTTTTAATTATTTAAGTTCATGTTTCATTAAATTGACTTGTTATATTGTGAATTAAATTACTAATAAATTAGCTTTCAAATGAAGAGTCACATTTTACAATACGTAACAGTTTTTTATCCCGCTAGAGGGCACCAAAAATAAAAGCAACGCAATGCATAGTCATATTGCTGAATTCTCCATAAAATTATCTTTAAAATGATGCATCACTTGACCCGCTTTGTCATTTAAGATTCTAGGAGGTTAAACCATAAGGGCTAAAAATATTCACTGAAAGTTTCCCCCTTGAAAATAAAACTGACTTTGATTTTTTATTTTTATTTACTGGAAGGAACATATCTTAAGTGCGGGAAGTTGACACCTTTATACGTATTGATGTAAAGTCATATCGTTGAAAAGTTTTAAAACTTTTTTAAAAAGCAAAATCCAATTTATATACAGTGTGTCTACTACGTACGTTGGTGGCAGAAAACTTTTTTTATTATTAATTTTAGGAAAAGTTATTCTTTATAATAAGTTGTGCATGGTCTAAAACACGAAATACAACAATCTAATATCAAATTTTATCAGTCGTATATGAGGTTTGTAAAAAATTAAGGTATGTTACTCTTGAGTAAAATCATATTTTGACAAACCTGGTACACGACTGATATCAGATGGCTGAATGGGCCCGTTCACTTTTATTTTTGAATGTGAATTATTTATATATTTATAAAGATATTAAACTCTTTTGTCTGGTGGTACTTTTCCCGTTAAAATATTTTTGCTAGAAGTAAGAGAATTCCCATAAAATTCTTTCAGTGACTCATTGCGTCAGAAAACCCCTAATTCCCTTCAGGTCTCGTATCGGTTAATAGTTAAAAGGGCGCGGTTGTCGGATGTATCATTGCACCACCATTCCTCTTCTGCATTTATTAAAGAAATTTACATGATAAAAATATATTATTTTTTAAAAATAATGTGTTTATATTTTCAGATAAAGCTGGAAGCCTTACCTTTTTTAAATTTTAATAAAACCAATTAGTATTACTCAAGCTGAATATTACCAGATCGAAATTTTATATTTGAGAAAATGTATCTGGTAAACGTGACAACGTTGTAAGTACTTCTAAATAGTGTTGTCTACACACACTTCTAGAAATAAATGCAACGTTGCCACGTTTACCAGATAAATATTGCAAATCAAATTTCTACTTTTTGATTATGGTCTGGTTAATTTTCAGCCTGAGTAATAATAATTGTTTTAATTAAAAAGTAAAAAATAAGCTCCCAGCTTTAAATCTGAAAATATAAGTTCATGATTTTTAGAAAAATAATGGAATTTTACTATTTAAATTACATATATAAATGCAGAAATGCTATATGAGGGATACTTCCGACAACCCCGCCGTCTTTAAGCATAACCGATACGAGACGTGAACGGAATTAGGGATTTTCTGACGCAATGAGTCACTGAAAGAATTTTATGGGAATTCCCTTACTTCTAGCAAAAATATCTTAACGGGAAAAGTACCACCAGACAAAAGAGTTTAATATCTTTATAAATATATAATTAATTTACATTCAAAAATGAAAGTGAACGGGCCCATTTTAGGGTTTTGACCATGCACAACTTTTTATGAGAAATAACCTGTTTTCCTAAAATTAATAATAAAAAATTTGTTCATATCCATACAACTCTGGTAGACACACTATATAAGAAGTTGGTAACTGCCTATTAAAAAAAAGTGGGACATCTTGTATTTTGTTCTTTTTATTCATGCTTTAAACAGCGACCATTAAGAGAGACTACAACACAATAAAAACCGATAATTTATTTTCCGTTTTTTTTTATAAATTTTGTATCTACAACCACATCAATATTGACACTAAAAAATGTTTTTCTTCCGTCTTGAAATACCCAACGAGTTTACCGTTGTGAAGTTTTCATCTAAAACCGAAAATAGCCCAGTAAGTAACGACAAATTTAGCGTGCTTACGAGTTTTTAAGGCGATTCTGGTGATTTTTTTGAATTCGTCTAATTAATTTTTAAAATTGCTAATTTTAAAGATTAATTATTTTTTTTATTAATATTAAAAGACTTAATTATACAGGATGTACGTAAAGTATGGAATAAATTTATTTTTAAGAAAATTCCCGAAAAAGGTCGATTTTTTATTTCAATTTACCATATTTTGAAAAAAGATATACAGAGTGTTTCTAAATTCATGCGACAAAATTCAGGAGGTGATTGCTCGTATGAAATTAAGATCGGTGTTTCCTATAACAAAATTTCCTCAGCCCACCCCTTTCCGAGATATCACCCTTAAAAGGTGGTGACTAAAATTGAGTTTATTTATTTCTTCTAAAATTTCAGTAAAGCTAGAAACTTGAAATTTTGTAATTTTCGTGCACTTGCAAAGGACTAACCATGGGTATTTTTTCAATATTCCTGTTACAATATAGGGGGGTGAAATTAGCAACCCTTACTTTATTTCATATCAAAACTTTTTTTCGAGATGAAGTTTTATGAAATAAAATTAATTTCCCTCCCCCCCCCCTATAATGTAACAGGAATATTGAAAAAATACCCGTGGTTATTTCTTTGTATGTGCATGAAAATTACAGAATTTTAAGTTTCTAGCTTTACTGAAATTAAAAAAAAAAAAAAAAAAAACTCAATTTTAGTCACCACCTTTTAAGGGTGATATCTCGGAAAGGGGTGGGCAGAGGAAATTTTGTTATAAGAAAGGCCCATCTTAATTTCATACAAGCAATCGCCTCCTGAATTTTGTCGCATGAATTTAGAAACACCCTGTATATACAGGGTGATAACCATGTGAGTAATGACGTTAGATACACTTTTTATAAATGTGGCATCCCGTATATTACGTTTTTGGAATCGCCATAGAAAGCTGAATTCAAAAATATATCACATATTAGGTTTGTAATGAAAAATGTGGTTGCCATTAAAAAATATCAATGACGTCATTCCTACTACACAAATCATCCTGTATGTATTAATTTTATTTAAAAAAAAAAATGTCCTAATGAAAATTAAATTCGACGGCTTCAAACGTTTTTTTTTTTCCAAAATTTATTCCTTATTCACTACTTAATGAAAGCATGAATTATTTAAGACACACATTGTACCTGTACAAACCCTATGTGTGATATATTTTTGAATTCAGCTCTCCATAACGATTTTAAAAATTGAATAAATATAGGGGTGTCCCATATAAAATAAATATCGCTGACGTCATTACTCACATGTTCATTGTCTATATAACTTTTTGTTTAGAATATAGAAAACCGAAATTAAAAATCGACGTGTTTCGAAAATTTCCTTAAAAATGGATGTTTTGGCTAAAAATGAATTTATTCCGTATTTTAAGGACCCACTGTATGATAATTTGTTTTAAAAGGAATAAATAATATTAACAAAAATCTACAATTCACAATTTATAACTGGTTTTAACCCAAGAATAACAAACTTGGATGTTGCCCAGTAATTGGTAATAATAATATATAAATAATAATAATATATAGGGTATCCCAATAAAAACTCCTAAGATAAATATCTCGGAGAGTATTTAATGGAAACTGTAAAAGTGAATTACTAAGGTGCATTTTGTGTTTAAAGAGATTGCAACTTTAGTTAATTTTTTATAAAAAAGAGCAAATTAATTTTGAGATTTTTTGTATTACTGCATTATAAAGAATTTAATTCTATTTTCGGTATTTAATTTCAAAGCGTAATTCATGGTAGGAAGTAAATGAAAACAAACCATTTTCAAGATATATTTGAGTTTCAATGTTGCCATTTTTAGACAAAGAAGCCTTTGGAACATTTGAAGATGCATGTTTTTATAATTCATGTTGATAAAACAGTAATAACCATTTTATTTTTTTAAAGGAATATTTTTTATTTTTCTCATTACAAAATGTCAAAAGTTTTATTTTTTTAAAGGAATATTCTTTATTTTTCTCATTACAAAATGTCAAAAGAACATATCTTTTTAAATAAATTTTATAAAAATAGCAACACTGATACTTTTACAGAACTTTCAATATCTCCCGATAATGTCTAAGAATTTATGGGACATCCCTATAACTCTTCTGAAATAATTTTATCACTGGAATCCCCTTATTGTGATTAAAGATAAAACGTCACAACAGAAAACATTTATTATTGTGCTGTAGCTCTGAAATACTATAAATACTACCTAGTCTGTATTTAAAACGATTAAGTGCATTTGACTCAATGATTTTAATAACTACAATCCGAAACAATGAAAAGACTGAACCACATAAATTGATTCTCACGAAAGGCAAACAAATAAAAATTTTGAAATTTAATGTTAAAATTGATAAACATTGAAGTGTATATCAAACAGAAACCGAAATTGGAGATGGTATCGAAAGGATTGAAGGATACTAATGATTGCAAAGGATAAACATTGAAGTATGTATCAAACAAATACCAAAATTGGAGATATTATCAAAATGATAAATATTAATGATTGAAAAGGATACCAAGTAATGAGAAGGGTATCAAAATTGTACCAATAATGAAATATATATAAATTGTACCAATTATAGGGAAGGTTAAATATTGGAGGATAGTACCAAAAAGCATGTCGCGCCTTTTCATTGTTTAAAAACTACATTCTACATAAATACGGACATCAAAACATCTACAGACGACACCGATTGATCCAACTTAACTAACCCCACATACCCCTGGTTCATCCACTTGTCTTTCATAATGGTTTCCAAACTGGCCCGTTTGGCTGGATTGAGGACGAGAAACTTTTTGAGGAGGTTCTCGCAGTCGGTGCTCATGTAGAAGGGAATTCGGTATTTGCCGCGTAGTACACGTTCCCTGAGCTCTCGCAGCGTCGATCCGTCGAACGGTAGACTGCCCGAGACCAAGGTGTAGAGGATGACGCCTAACGACCATACGTCTACTTCAGGGCCATCATATTTTTTACCCTAAAAAGAAATTAATTATAGAAACATGAAGTGATCCACGAAAAATGTTTCTAAAGTAGAGACAATGGAAAAAAATCGACAATTCTTTTTTTTTAATAGCAGTTTGGATTTAATTTAAAAGTGTGCTTACTAATCACAGACATTACTCGTATCTCTGTCTATGTCAGTCAAGGCCTACTTTAGAAACATTTTTTATTGATCACTATTTATTGTATATGTAGGAATGAATGTAGGTATATATTTCATATATATTCATCAGCTTAAAAACAGACAAATTTTTGTTAATTTTCTCCTATTCCTGATCATTATGCCTCTCAGGTCTCCTTCCTTTTCTTGGTCTACATCACATTTTTCTCTTCTGGCTTCTTAGAGGTTATGTTTATTATATTTATGTTGCTCTCCATTCTTCCAAGGTGTCCTACTGTTGTAGTCTTCTTCTCCTACTAAATTCCTAGAATTATTTTCCTTAAATGTGGTCATAAACTTGTTTCTCCATCCATGTTCAGAATTTTATTCTTTAAGAATATTTCTCAATATTTTTCATTATTTTAATATCAAATCTCTTCATCTGCTATTAAAGAGACTAAAAGTTATCATAGAAAGAAAACCTAATAAAAGAATCAATTCGGATTCAAAACACAACATTTCACAACAATGTCTCAGTTTTCCCAACCTGGTTCAGAATGTTATTCTTTAAAGATATTCTTCAATATTTTCCTCCCTCATGGGTTCCTTATTTTTTATCACGATCCATGTGTCACATTCATAACCTATCTTTATATACTGTTAATTTTTTATTACACTGAATGTATCAAATTAAAGTTCGCTTAATTTATATTTGAACTAATTTATTTTTATATATTAATATCATTTGAACATTATCAATATTACAATACATTTTTAAATAATTAATAAAAAAAAATATGTTATTGTCGGGTACATTCCATGTATCAAAAAACTAAAATTATGAGATTAAGTAAGATCTTGACCATAACAAAATTTTAGAAACAGGAGATAAAGTTTGTTTATTGTTATAATAATTTCACAATTTTTGGTATTTCATAGGTACTAAAGGTCAATACATTTGTGTGGTCTAAATATGTATACAGAAAAATGTGTAATAGTGTTCTACTAAACTCTTTGTTAAAACGATTATGTGGTCAATATTTTATTATTTAATATATATATTTTTTTATTGTACTTACTTGAAAAAGTTCAGGAGCTGCATATGGGGGACTCCCGCAAAAAGTATCTAATTTACTTCCTGGGGTAAATTCGTTTGAAAAACCAAAATCGGCAATTTTAATATTCATTTCACTATCCAACAGTAAGTTTTCAGCCTTTAAATCTCTGCAAAAAAAATTATCCGTCAGATATACACATAAAATATTCTAACATAGTTTACAACGATCATTAATTAATACATTTTTTTTATATTTAATTTAATATACACCGCTCATTCTTGGTATTAAAATTGAATTAAAAAGAAGAGAATCCGAAGGGTATAGTGATGGTGTACTATGATATACAAGGAATCTGTCATATGTACTACTTTTGTACTTCGTTTACTATTTATATATTATTTGTATACTATTCGTATACTATTCGTATACCATGCGTATACTATTCGTATAATATTCGTATACTATCTGTATACTATTTGTATAATATTTGTATACTATTTGTATATTATTTGTATACTATTTGTATATTATTTGTATACTATTTGTATACTGTATGTATATTATTTGTATACTATATGTATATTATTTGTATATTATAGTTATACTATTTATACACTATTTTTATACTATTTGTACACAATTTGAATACTAGTTGTTTACTATTTATATACTATTTAATACTATTTGAATACTATTTATATACTATTTGTATACTATTTGTACACAATTTGAATACTAGTTGTTTACTATTTATATACTATTTATATACTATTTAATACTATTTGAATACTATTTATATACTATTTGTATACTATATGTATACTATTTGTATACTATATGTATACTATTTGTATACTATTTGTATATTATTTATATACAATCTATAAACTATTTGTGTACTGTTTTCGTACTGTTACTGTACTATTTGGGGCACAACATGTACTGGTGGTTCTAAAAAAAGGAGAGCCATTCCTTATAGAAAACAATAGACCTATAAGTTTGCTAACCAGCTTCTCAAACATTTTTGAAATTGCAATGAGTAAACGCCTTACTAAGTTTCTTGCTACGAATGGAAATATTATCTCTACTCAACATGGATTCCAAAGAGGAAAATCTACTACAGCAATTTTTTCCTTTGTAGAACGCATTCGACAATACCTAGATAATGGCTGTATTTTGCATGGTGTATTTCTAGACTTGTCAAAAGCCTTTGATTGTGTAAACCACCAATTACTATTAAAAAAATTATACGTTATCGGCGTACGTGGAATTGCATATTATGATTGGTTTAAATCATATCTGATTGCAAGGTCTCAAAAAGTCTGTCTGAAAACAAATAGTGGACTCTTTTTCTCAGAACAAGAATCGATACATGTGGGTGTACTACAAGGAAGTATCTTAGGTCCTTTGCTATTCCTCCTCTATATTAATGACCTATCAAATGTGATAGACTTGTCTTCTGTAACACTAACAAATTATGCAGATGATACTAACATTTTAATAGCCAGTACCGATTATGAAAGTCTGAAACAAGATACCATGCACATATCATCAATAACGGCAGAGTGGTTTCTAAAAAATTTCTTAGTATTAAATATGTCCAAAACAAATTGTATCCTGTTTAAACACAGCAGAAATAAGAACGATTATGAAAATGCTATAAATCTAAACAACACATAAATTAATTATGTGAGCTCTGCAAAATTTCTTGGTGTGATAGTAGATGAGAATTTGAGATGGTCTTGTCATGTGGAAAATCTCTGTGGTAAGCTTAGTAAGAGTTGCTTTGCTCTGAAAGAATTACCTAAAGTTGTAAACCAAAACACTTTGAGATCTGCATATTTCGGACACTTTTATTCCATTATGTGTTACGGAATCATCTTCTGGGGTGGTTCTCACAATTACGAGGTCTTTGTGATACAAAAAAGAATATTGAGAATATTAACTGGGTTGAATTTTAGAGATTCCTGTCGAGGGTTTTTTCGACAATCAAATCTGATGACGGTGGTTGGGGCATATGTATATTTTTGTGTAAATTTTGTAATTGAAAATCAGGTTCACTTCAGAGAACATATTTTTGGTCATACACATAATACACGCGGAGTAGATAGTTTTGTAGTACCAACGCATAAAACCACACTATTTGAAAAAGGATGCTATTTTAAATGCATACAATTTTATAATATGTTTCCACGCTATATAAAAAATATTAAAAATGTAGGCAGATTTAAGTCAACCATTAGAAATATCTTAATTGATATTGAGCCCTAAGTTAGGATTAGAAATAAGATCCTTTTTAGCTGTTTAGTTTTTTTCTTCTTTTTCTACCTATCAGTATTAATTTTCGGTGGTGGTAAACAATATGATTGATGTAATTACCAATTGCAAATTATGACACTATGGGTTTTGCTAGGTTTTCCTCTAGTCTTGGTAAATACGCCATTCTTACTCGGTAAGTCGACCTAGCTCGCACATTAATAATTAATTATTAATAACAATACTACATCTTGCAGTTGGTATTTTTGCATCATCTATTTTAATTTTTAGCTTTATCTTTATGTAATATTTAGTTATGGATATTGACGCGTACAACACAATACACTTTGTATATTGTCCCTAGTACGAATAAAAGAATTTGAATTTGATACCTTCATAGATCGTAGCTCTTGGGGAAACATGAACATAATTGGAGGGAGAAGGTCAGAGCAGTCTACATTGTTAATTTATAATTAAATCATAATTATTATCAAAATTAGGAGACCAAATATGACTGCTGCTTTCTAACTACATAAATATTTTGAAAGCATTAATATTGCTAAACTCTTTGTCACATGCCAATGAACATGGTTCCATACAAAAACGTTTCAAGTCTTGTTACAATAACAGTTGATGTGGGAAAATAGTATATTGTACATCAGGAGAGATATTATGGCCATATCGCATGAAGACGAATTTGGAGCACGACGCCGATGTGGACAATCGACTCGAGTTGTACAGTATATTTTTCTACCACCCACTAACGAAAATCTACAAAATTTTAAAAATGAATTTAGAGGTTATCAAGATAAAATAACTATTTTGATAATTTACGCAAAAATTTGAACCATGCCACTTGAAATGGAAACACTTTACCCAAACCGTTGCGCTACCAACTTTTACGTTTCTTAAGACTTAAAATTTATAATTGAATTAGTTTTAGATATTTTTATTAAAATTTAGTCTCATTTGTAAATATGAACGATTATCTAGGGAAATGCCATTATTTAACGATTGTTTACAAGAAACAATCATTTTTAATTATATTTTACCACAATAACTAAAACATTAACTGACAATAATTATTTTGACAGAATCTGAGATTTAAAAAAATAATAGTAGACCTGTCACTAAATTCTAAATATGAAATGTGATTGGTGGATTTAATATCCATACAATGTCCTTACTGGAACGGATATAAAATTATATCCGTTCGTTAGACCTATTTGTTCTGAAGTATGTGCCTATAATAGATAATATACAATAATATACATTTCGGTGTAGAAAAATGTAATTTGGTGTTGACATAAATTACTAATCTTATGTAATCGACCAGTCAAGCCTTCAAAATAGTCAACAGTACTCAAAAAACACTTTAATTTTTCAAAGACGTTTAAGATGTAGAGCACTTAAGTTTTATCTTAAAAATATAAAAAAAAATAATCTAAAAATATAATTTTATAGACGGTAAAACCAGATTCTAATATTAAGTTTATACGTTTGCCAGTTTGTTTAAACATTCTAAGGCTACCTACTACTTCAATTATATTAGTGAATACAAAACACTTTAAATAAATTAAAGTAATTCAGCTTTAAACATTCGTTAGTTGCCTAATTACATAATTTATTTCAATACTTAATGCTCTGGTCGAACTAAAGATTTCTGATCAGCCTTGGCCAAAATCTAATTCAAAATTTTCACGCCAATCTTCCACAGTACCTACATACACATAGTACAGATGTTGCGTATCAGGTCCGGCTTCAAAAATAGTTATTTTTCTTTCATGCTAAATTGATTAATGACATAATGCAGGTGTCTGAAGTATTATATAGAAAACGTTTTTTAAAGAGAATCCTAGATATATTTTTGCATGATCATGCAGAATAGAGTCATAAAATTCATATAGAAATAAAGAAATCCAGCTCTGTATGCGACCTTCGATGTAATATCAAACGATAGGATATTGGCACCCATTTCAGTGGGAAGTAATTAAAATCGAATTTTTTAATTTTAAAATGTTTGTTGTCCCTGTCAAATTAATGGACTAGATTAGTATCGGTACTAATTTGATTTTAAATAATGGCTAACATTTTTATAGAATTTAAGTGGATCAAACTAAAATAATTGTATTTTTTTAAATTGATAATTAACTTCCGAATTTATTAAAAAGGTGTAAACTCCATATTTTTCTCTGGAATAAAGTATACAAATATTAAAGTGTGGATTCCTTACCTAAAATAAAGGTGGATTCTTCTATTTTTTTTTAAATACTAAATTTGTTGCTTAGCTACATCCGCCAAAATTTTCAAAACTAATAAAAAATGAAACTTTGCCAAATCGTTTAGAACAGTATTTTTAATTTCTCCTGTTTTTACAAAGGGGTAACGCATTTTATGACGTAGAAAACAGCCATTATACAGGGTGTAACAAAAAGATGTACTGTAATTTAACTACAATTTCTGGGGTCGAAAATAAATCGATTTTAGTTAACTTGCTTTTATAAAAAAAATAGATAGTATAAAACGGCTTAACATATCGGATGTTAGTATACAGTGATGAACTCACTACACAATAGCAAATGCAGATGACCTGGTCATTCTGCAAACAGGGAATTTTGAAAACATACTTTGCGAAAGAATGCAAGTAACTCTAAAAATTATAGAATAGTGGTGCAAGGACCATTCACTGTCAATCAATCCTAAGAAGACGGAAATGGTCCTTTTCACAAGGAAAAGAATGAAAATGGAATTAAAACCTCCAGAACTCCTAAACACAAAACTAAACTTTGCAACAGAGGTGAAGTACCTAGGTCTCACCTTTGACAGCAAGTTAAGATGGAACTCGCATTTAGAAAACAGAGTTAAAAGAGAATACATTGCTTATGAATAATGCCGCCGGACCGTGGGGCT